TTTTAAATAACTTTTAAGAAATTAAATTAAAATTCAAAAATAAATATAAGTTTTAACACTTAAACAAAAAAATATATTAAATTAAAAATATTATAATAATAAATTAGGATATTAAAATTATATTAAGTAAAATAAAACACATTATACATATATATTTTTTATAACCGCTAAGCTGCCTCCGGACAGTTAATGGATTTTTATGAGGAGCTTTATTTCGTGTCAGAAATACACTTGGAGGAGTTTGATATTCCCTGCCGAGGGGCGACCGTAATTACAAAATTTGGGTAAATTTTTTATTTAAATTAATTTTCTATTCCTTTTTGGATGTGAGTACGAAGCACCAGGATTAGAACCCGAGTCTTCCGAATGGCAGTACGCTACCATGGCCGCCAAACAATTAAATTAAAATAAATTGAATTAAATAAAATTATATTCAATTAAACCTTAGTTAGGTAAAACTATATTATGTAAATCTGAATAAAATTAAATTAAATTAAAAGAAAGAAAATAAAAGTTAAAAAATATAATATATTAAAATAAAATAAGATAAAACAAAATAAAATAAAATAAAATAAAATAAAATAAAATAAAATAAAATAAAATAAAATAAAATAAAATAAAATAAAATAAAATAAAATAAAATAAAAAAAAAAAAAAATAATAATATAAAACAAGTAAAGTTAAATTAAAAGAAAATAACAAAATTAAATTACATAACATAAGGAAGATAAAATAACTTTAAGTCAAATTAAGCATATTATAACACAAAAAAATAAAATTATGCAATAAATATAAAGAAACTTTTAAAATAACCATTCTCTAGATTTCTGCTATAAATTTTGTGTGGTCAAGTTTTCATCTACCGACCCATTGGACTACAGCATCAGAGTGCCTTCTTATGATATTGTGTCACGAATACACAAGACACACATTCCTTAATCACTTAACCACTTTAAAGCTTTTCGGATTGAAACATTCAATTAACTTAAGACCGACACAGATAAACTTCAATTCCAGTGATTGACTTTTATAGACCCCTCTGCTTATTCAAGCAAGAAATCGTCATCATTTCCGAGCAACCACGTTACACATATGCATGTATATAAGTATGTATGTAACTTTGACACATTTGACAGTTAGCATTGCATTACCAGTAGATGGTCTTGATTCATGCCAATACAAAGAAATGAAGAAAAAATGTAAAAAAAGAAACAACACCAGAAGCACTGTGAAAGTGCCAATGATATTTGTTGTTTGATATCGTTTTTTATATAACATTTCCTCTTTCATCTTTTTGTTTTTTTCCTCTGCCCATATTCTCAACAGTTTTATTGCATTCTCGTGCTGATTGCTGGTGTCAGCAATGTTGGCAATGTCACTTGACACCCGCAAATTGTTGGATAGGAAAACTAAACGACATGAAAGAGTGACAGAGGTGGCGCAACGTACATATGTATGTACATATATACATTCATATACAAATGTAGTAGTGTGTAGAGGTTTCCTTTATGGGATTGCTTGTGCTTGATTTTCATATTCGTGTTTTTAGATATCTGCATGAGATTTTTTTCTTATGATTTGGTATAATTTTTTTTCTAGGAAATGAAAGTCATTCCCGTAATGGCTTCTTTGGATAGCACGAGTACCAGCTGTCTTTGTAGATATATAGTTGTAAGGAGTTTACTTCAGTCTGCTCTTGGTTTTTAAATATTTGAATAAGTAGGCATGCCAGATTTCGAATCTTCCCTTCACTAACTTCAAGTAAGGGGAACGGGTTTGATTGATTTTAAATCCTTAGCATCTACATAAATATCATCTTTGCTTCCAGAAACTAATGGTTTTCTTATATTCCTGCCTGATATTTCCCCTTATCAATTAAAGCTGGTGCTTTTGTACGATATCGAGTTCATCCTCATTTTTGTGGTGGCATTAGCAGAGCCAGGTATACAATTGATATGCTAGTGGTTTAAGATTTGCCTAATATGTCTTCTCATTGGATGTAATGCCTACTTAATCAGACGGGGTCGCAAGAAAACTCTAACTTTTTAATTAACAAACTTGCACAGGCCATTGGTTAAAATAAACGAATAACCTTTGACCTTTCGTCCTAAAACAGATTTAGTTCCTTATTTATTTCATATACCAGTATTCCAATAAAAAAATGGTATAAAATATATTATTGTCAAAGATCGGGTAAGAGAAAGTTCGTGACCATAGAGCCGTTTGCTATCTGCACGGCTGCAATAATCGGAAATATACCATTAATTGCAAAGCGGCAGCTATATCCCACTTGCGGAAGGTGTATGCCTAGAAACCTTTCCACTCCAATATTTAACAATTATACAATAGAAACAATTTCAATAAAATAAAATTAAATAAAATAAAATAAAATTTTCAAATTACGATCGCTCGCTCGGTATCCTCGGTAGGGAATATCTAATACTTTGATTGTATTTTTAACACGAAATGAAAAATTCTTTATAACAATGAAGGCTTAAAAATATTGGAACCCTCATTTGAAGGAAAGCCACACACCAATCAGAGGCTGAACTCTGCCGAGAATGCGCGGTTATGAAGCGTCAATTATAAAGAAAAGTACAAGACGTGTAGGTTGCTTCAGAAATAGTATTCTTATACCAAAGGATAATCTAGACATTAAACAATTCTACAAAGCTGCTATTAATTTATTTTAATTTTGTTATTATTTTTCAAGGTATTTTTTAAAACGAACCCCAATGCTTAGCTGTTCAAAAAGTATCTGCCTGTTTTTCCTTTTCTATCCGACCATTTCAATTTACTCCCTCGCATTCGCTCCACCCTACTTGCTGAAACTAATTAGTTTTCTTGAATCCATTTCAGATCTCGCAACGAATTATTTGCTATGTCTTTCATCGACAGTCTAGTGCATTGGGCTCATTTGGCAGGCACCATTCTGAAGCTTGTGGACTATGCGTTTCTGAAGTATTCGAGGGGCAACATATTTTATCAGACCAACTATTAAACAAAACCGAATTAATCAAAGACTTTCGTTCGTTTTTAATGCAACACCTAAGACAAACCAAACGAAAGAGCCAGAACTGCACTGTTTAAAGAAATTTGATTTAAATGCTAAAGCAGATGGTGCAACTTTTAATAGGCGGGATTAACAACAGTTCGGTCAGTTGGTAACTTTCAATTTGGTTTTGCTAAATCTAAAATTACCAAATTCCTTTGCAATTACTTTAATAATCTCTCCTTCAAATTTTATAACGATCAGCTAAAATAGAGGAGAAAACACAAGATAGCTAAGGATAGGTCAGCCGAAATTCCACCACTAACGCAAACAGAAGTTCGCCATGTGATTCTTTTCGGAGTTCGGCGTAATTTACAGTCAATACAAATATTTAGTGAATGCCAAAATTGCATATGGAACGATTTCACCGTCTTCAAAGACTATTTCTAGGTGATTCCAAAGATTTTAGGTCGACCGAAATCGTTCACTGACGACGTCACTGTTGGCGAAGACCCACGACTATACACGAAGGAATCTGCTCGATGGATACCACGAACTTTAAATGAGGTTCAAAAGGAGGCTCGGGTGTGTTTTGCTTAATTTTTCCTGAACAAATGCGAAAATGGTCTATCTTGAAATTTTAGTAAAGTCGTTACTGTTGTCGAATCTTGGGTCAACAAGAACGAACCAGAAACCAAACAACGGTATGGATCTCAAAAATTTATAGCATCATATTATTATTATTATTTTGAAAATTATAAACAATTAAGAGGAAAGGTTTTAATATCAACGGAGACAAAATTAATGCGGTAAATGCAGAACTTGATGAGCTTAGAAAGCACTACTTTGAATACTGTTTTCAGAAATGCATCTATGGGCTTAAGAAATGCATTGAAACCAGTGGCGATTATGTAAAGAAGATGAAACAGGACAAAGATTACGAATAAACACAAAAGGAATTTTTTTCTTCTCGAAATACTGAACTTTTGTTAGTCCCCCCGTATGTTACATCAACATTATTAACTAATATTCACCTAAGCGAGTAGGGAGGAATATTTCATTCATTGAGCATTATCCTGGCTTTACTAGATGGCTGAGGTATATACCACCAACATCCTTAAGCACCTGGTTAAGATAACTACAAATATTCTGTTGATTCACAACGGGGGGGGTGAAGTCCTTTGCCACATGGATGAGGAAGTTTCTGGAAGTATTCAGAAATTTTATGCGGAGGCGACAAATCCAAATGGCGCAACCGATTAACGAGAAAAAACTCAAGTTATTCCAAATTATCTGACGTAGTATGGTTATGTAAGGAAAACCAGATGTTTTCTCATTTGTCGCCGTCTGCTGTCGGAGCATAAATTTACAATCTACGTAAATTCTCACGGAAACGTAATACAGGGAAAACACGGTCATTCTATTCGGTAGTCGTAAGACAATTAAACCAACCGAAGCATCAAAAGAAGGCTTTAACAGTCCTCAAGTCATGGCATTGAACAGTATTGACAGTAAAGAAGGAGGGTTGACGGAAATTATTTTCACACAAAAGCGTTTGAGTTGCATCACTTCACAGACCACTTGAGAACTGATTTATTTATGTATATGCCATAATGCAAAAACAAATTGCGAGAGGCAATGAGCTTAAAGTAATGCAAGAATTTATATTTTTGCATTAACAAATTTGTTTAACCAAAGAGTTCTCCCGCAGTTCCTGGAGCCGCTGACAAATAATATTCAAAATGGAGAGCCAGTCAAAGCTGAAGGTTAAAGAGTAAAGGGTTGAACGAACCGTTAATCCTCAAAACTGAATTTTCTACAATATTGTATACCGAAACATTGATATCCAACTTAAGAGCTGTAAGCTAAGAAAGTTTACGGGAAGGATGAAATAAATCTGCCAGCGACTTGATTCAAAGCCAAGTAGTGATAATTCGTTAATATAAAAGTAAAATAGTTATTTTTTGTTGGAAAAACACATACATATGTAAATGATAATATGTGCGTATACTTTAACTTCTCCTTTAGGCAATAATATTAAATATTTCCTGATAACAACAAAACTGCATGTATATTTTTAAGTACAAATTAAAACGGTTATCAGTTGGCTTTGGGCTTAGGGTTTGCGGTTTTCCAACGACGTTTTTGTAACATCTCATAACCAAAGTAGCCAATATTTTTCAAATCTTTCATGAGAGTTGGTGATAATTTAATGGCATTGTAAATCGCTTTCTCCAGCTCGTCATATTGATTATGCGACTGAAAGGGCATATTCTCAAAGCTACACATCAACACATTGCCGCGCTCATTACCAAGAGCTAGCGAGCGGCCGCATAGGCTCAATCTATGGGAGACACAAGAGATTTATCTGCAGGAAATGTCCAAAGTGGGGTACTTACTTGGCCAATGTATGAAATGATTTATCGATGTTTTTCTTCGATATCGGTGCCAACAGATTACGACGTAAGTCCCAAATGTCTGCAGTATCACGGTTGATTGCTATAATAACAGTTGAGTGTGTCCGACTCCACATGGCACAATGTATTGGCTCGTAAGTATCAGAAAGTGTTATGAGCGGTTGATAGATGCCCTCCAACCAAATGCGAATGGTCCTAGTAAAGTAGGGCAAAAATTGCTTAGTTTCCATTACTCTCAAGCTAGAGGAGGTGCGTCTCCTCAAGGATAACTTAAGATAGGTAGCTTACATTTCAGTACAAATTTCAGAGCTTTATAGTGAAGACAAATGGGAATTTTGGATTAAGGCTTACGCTTTTTTTCTATAGGTCAAGGAAACAGCAGCTACCAAGAATTTGACTCGCTTGATTTTAAGATTTTATGTGTTTTTTGGTTGAAATGAAGGCGAGTTAAAAAACTCTATCGAACTCTGGAGTATACTATGTCGGCACATTTGTACAATCTTAACCAAAAAGATTCTTGGGAGCAATATACATACTCCTACATTGATAGCAACTACTTCGACTCGAAAACTGACTGTAGTAAACTTTTTCCGACCGTTGCGACTAACCTAATCATACTTGAGTTTAAAATTAGTGTTCGAGTGTCCAAGCTTCAAGTTAACCAATAAACCAACTTTTATGAGCCTTAGCGTCGGGTCTACAGCAGGATTTCCGAAGCTATTAATAGAACTTTTATTCAGCATGACATTGAGAGCCAATTTTGTGCTTGTTGTTCATAACGCCCCACCAATTCTGATGTGGGTGGACTTGTTATATTAATGGTGCTTAGCTATTGATATTTGAATCTATGGACAAAGTCGTTAAGCCCTTTTGTCCTCAAATGACGTCTCTACCACGTCAAAGGAGACTGATACCATTTTGGCCCTCAACCCAATGTTTGATCTCCAAGACAATTTCTTTAGGCATAAAGAGTTTTTCAATAAACCCCACCCTACATTCTTAAAGATCACTTGGACCTTACCAAATAACAACGCAGATTTATATTTCCCGTCCCATGGACTTACCAATCATTACCGCAGGTCAGAAAGAGCTTGGGAGACCAAGGTGAGAAATCCATGTGATTAACTGCACCATCGTGCACCTTCAGTACCTCCAAATAATTATGCGTGTGATTGAGCGAACACTTCTGTATGCAACCTTCATCGGTGAGTATGTAATAGATATCCTCTTGCACTGGATGCATTACAAGATGCAAGCCATTTGCATTACGGCTCGCTTGGTAAGTAACGTTTTCTGATATTCTAAAGGCTTTAAGTTGCAATCCCTCCGGATTGCCTTCCATGCGCAACAACTCCATCTGGCGCATACCCAACAAATATGGACTTGAAATAATACGAAATTTACCCACTTTGCCATCACGTGTTAGCGCCAGAAATGGATCTGCTTCGATGGTATCCTCTTGCGTTTGGCGTATCCATTGTATCGAAGTAATCGGTTCGCAGCTCATCAAGACAGTACGTTGTGAAACTGCCACAGGCGGATCGTAGGGCTTTGTTATATTGCGTACGTGTACTGTACCATCGAATAGGCCAATGGCGATTAGGAAGGGCAAATACGGTGAAAACTCAACAGCTGACACAGGCACGGAATAATTGTAGATGCGCTCCGGATTTCGTGGATTCTTTATGCTCCAAATGCAGACATTGCCATTAGGCACACTCACCTTTGCCGCGTCCGAGTAGAAGCCATAAGCGACGGCTAACAAATCACCATTACCATGACAGAAACTCAGAGCCGCGATCGCCTTACGTCGATTGTCTTGATGTGTTCGAAAAGTGGGCTGATTCATTCGATAGAGTAAGTTCACTGTGTACGTGTACTCCGCGAATGTGTCCATTTTAGTCGGTACTTTCATGTTTCGGAAACGTCGTTGGCCCTCATTATAGAAGTTACCGGCCAAGATGCGTTCCACTACCATGGCGGCGTAAGAAAATTGCGTACTCTTGGCTAGTGTCTCTAAAACACCGGAGCTCTGTGTATGCCTTAGGCCCTTTAAGTCTAATGGCATTTTTAGCAATTGCTGATAGGTGTCGAACATTTCGTAGAATGAGACATATGTCGCTTTCTCACCAATTTTTCTCATAACCGTGTTTACATTGCGTGTCTTCACCATTACATCTGTAGTCTGCGTTTCAGCTTCGGAACGCCGACGTACTTTGCCCTTACCAACGGTGAGATGATCGTATATACGGTTGTCATGCTCCACAGCTTCAGCTTCTTCTGTATCTTTCGGTACAGTGAAACTGTTTTGGGTGAAGAGTACAAACTCTTCCGATTTACGTAAAATTACACTAACAAAAGGTAAATGAAATTTCTTCAGAGCAACTGAGCCCCTAGCGAATCGGTGCTCATGAATGGAACCGGTTGAAGCAATCGCTGCTATTATTTCGTCTAGTGATAGCTTCAATCCGAGTCGAGTGCTAGACTTGGCCTTCACCGAACCGATACTTATCCTATGAGTATTAATGCTTTGTGCGCTGGAAGTCTTTGTCATTCGTTTAACTTCTTCCTCGGCGAAGGTGTTAATGCTGCGAAACTTCCGTTGCGCTCCGCTTGTATCGGTGTCTATCAATTTTGGCGTGACCAACACATTCTTTCCGCGTACATTATCATACACTTCAAGTGCGTTGCGCCAGAGAATTTTGTCATCGATTTCCTTCGTCAACGCAATGATGTAGGTGACCCGGGACACGTGGCTCTTCTTCCTTTCATAATACTGAAAGTGAAAAAAATATATGTCTGCAAGTATCTAGAGATAATTACGATATCCTTTCATATTTACATTTCTTTCGGGGTTGAGATTCATTCTGATTCTTCACTTCTCTCTCTCTCTCTATTAGAAGAAGTTTATAATAATTAATGAATTATAATAATTATTTGGCAAAAATCTGAAGTAATGAAATATACGATATTTCTTATTTAGTTTTGTAATCGTCAAAAACAAAAAATGGGAAACCAAAACTACTCAATCAAATGAATGATTTAAAGGTTTACATCTAGTAAGAATTTTCAAAAAATCGTAAAATCACGTATTTATGTAAACACTCTGAATATTTCAAGTCCATCCGACTGTTATTTTGGAAATTACGCGGGCTGAGCTTTCCTTTATGGTTACAATGCTTGTTTCAGCCAAACTGACCAATCCTAATGAAATTTGCAGGAGTTGTTGCTGTTGATCTAGTCTATGTTTATTTATTATAATTAACGCATAAGTGTCTATAAATTTTAAATAATTTGTTGTTAATAAATACTAACTTTGCTTTGTTCACATGCGATTACTAAAAATTGTTGTATTTTTATTTTATTTGGTTAGCAGTAAAATACTATTTCATTTTTGCACACTATTTCGATATGATTAGCAAGAGAAATGTCCGACAATAACAATGAAAGGGTGCTGCCATACGGCTGAAACGATTAGTTTCAATATTTTATATGGTCTTCTGAACACTATTTTACAGTACTTAATCGAGGATTTTCAATTACCGATTAATAGTTTTTTAATGAGCAATACAAGACCAAAATTATGGAAAAAAAAAATTAATTTATTTTTAAGAAGCCGCCATTTTGTAAAAATATTTTTAGCTTATTCCTTTCATTTAACTTTACTTTACCAAAAATGATTCGCTTCAGAAATACAATGGTCACCGCAAAACACTCCATTTTTGGGGGGAGTCCCTGGAGATCTACCAATTACTTTTCAAAGGTCCCATAATGTGTGCACAAATGTTCGAAATAATAAACCTAAAATAAAAAATAAAATAAAATAAATTAAAATAAAATAAAATAAAATAAAATAAAATAAAATAAAATAAAATAAAATAAAATAAAATAAAATAA